GGGGGGTGCTAAGGGCGCGAAGCATACCGAGATTTTGGCCACACCCACTTTACGGCAGTAAAACAGCCTTTTCCTGCATTTTCGTCAATTACGGGTTGGGCCAAGATCATTTTAAGCATACTGCTATGTTTCTGGTACTTCTGACTGCTCCTTAAAGCACTGGAAACTGCTGAAATTATGGTCAGGGGGCTAGATAACTTTGTTAAGAGGCTTGGTAGTGATGCAAGAGTCCAGGACTTCAGTAATTTTTTCTGAGCCCAGCCCTGAGGGGGGTGCTCAAGCCCCCTCAGCCCCCCCCCCTAAATATGCCTCTGCCAATCTAGTGGGGCAATTTGAAACTAATTTTTTCCAGCTAGTTCAATTAGCCGTTCTGTTGCGCTACAGGACTTATTCACCCTCTTCACAATTTTTATTGCAGCTATTAATGTGCTTTCGTAAGTTGGAGCAGTTTCAAATTTCTTCACAACTAGCTGTAAAGTATGTATGAAGCAACTTATACGCTTCCAACCTACAAATGCATGATGGTGATCACTCTCACAAACTTCAAAATTTGTGATGTCAGAAACTGCATTAGCTTCTATGTTATCAAGCTCATTTCTTTCGCTTCAGCTCTTCAATTTCCCTGGTGTCGTACTCCTAATATCATCACTTTCATCAGATTCAATCTCAATGCTGTCATCTTCATTATTTGTCGTCTTAGATGCAGCAACCATGTTGCTTCCATTATCAGTCAGCACTCTAAACAGCTTTTCTCTAGGTAATTCCCATCCATCAACAATGTTTCGAATCAGCTCAGCAATCCTTGTACCAGTATGAGGAGATGGAAATCTTTTCAAAGCTATGCAAATGGAATGACGCTTGTTGGAATTGAGTGTGAAAAAGTGTGCTGTTACACCTAAGACAGATGCTGACATACCTGTCTTGGACCAAATATCTGCACACAAACTAATAGCTACAGCGTTGTTCAACTTGGCTTGAATGTTTTCCATCAGCTGACTGCAAACCTTATCGATATCTTAACCTAGTTTTTTTTGATGTGGTATTTCATATCTGCAATCCATTTCCTGAAGTAATTCACAAAATTCTTCATTATCAACGACAGAAAGGGAAACATTACTTGTACCAACAAAAATTGATTACTTTTGAGTAATAGCTTTCTAACGACTGGATTCTTTGGTGTAGAGAGAGGTGGCTTTTTCATTGAGGCTTCTATGCTAGTCTGTGATTGAGAAGGCAAACTCTTTCTGGTAGACCGCTCCTTTTGTTTCTCTGCTGTCTCACATTCTTCAAATTGCTTCCTATATTTCATTTTCAAGTGTTTCTTAAGATTAGTGGGATACTTTCCTTTTAGCACTTGACTGCATTCCTTCTCTCCATCTCCAAGTTCTTTGGTCATAATACAAGTACTTGCATCGCTATCTTTGTCATATTTAAAGTACTTCTAGACACTACTCCTTCCCATTTTGCTTTCTCTATGAGCAGTTGAGGCTGTAGCCTGCAGTCTGTAGGGCACATGCAATGGTCATGTGGCCTTGTACTTGTGGGATGTTTGATACAATATGTATGATGTTATCTTCACTACCAGGTGCTAAGTATAAATGGCTTTACTTTACTATTTCTTACAGTTCCCTTTAGTTCTAGTTCTAGTTCCCTTTGTATTTATGTATTTATTTTAGTTCTAGTTTTAGTTCCCTTTAAGGTCATGCATTTAGTTCTATTTCTAGTTCCGTTCGATTTATGT